GGGGGGCGTGGCACAAACCTGGCGGGGGGGGGTTGCGTCCCTCCATGAGATAGGGGAGTGCCTCAAACCCGCCGGCAGGAGAGGGTACCCCTTTGCCCTGCAGGAGAGCAGAGGCCCATTTCCCCAGCGGGGGTGGAAGGTGCCAGTGCCCATGAGCACTGCTGGGCAGCTGGGACCTGCTGCTGCTTTGCCAGGGCAGGATTTTCCAGAACATGTGCGTGGGGCAACAAAAGTTGCTTTCAGGGAAGGAGCAGCTGGGAGAAATCTCCTGCAGGCAGAGTGGGGCCAGCAGAGAGTGAGGGACAGCGAGGGGGAGACAGAAGCAGGTTTGCAGGGTGGAGGAGCCAGAGAAGACGGAGAACAGCCAGAGCCGGCTGTGGGAGACGGCAGGAGACAGAGACTTTCCAGAGGAGGCTGGGCAGAGTCTGCGGACACGTAGGCAGGCACCAAACATTACGGGATTAAGTGGAGGAAGAGGGGAATTTTGTTTCCAAATAATTTATTTTAATGTTACCCATCAGAGCTGAGTTTTCTTTCTCTCAAAAGTGACTTTTTGCTCTAAGAAAACACTTCAGACACAAGAAGTCCCTTTGATACTTTCAGGAGAGCTCAGAGCAAAGGTGCACATGGATGTAGCTCACAGATGGGCACGCAAGGGGGTTCGGTGCCCTGGCTGGAGTGAGAGGGAGCCTCAGAAATTGGTGAGCTCTGTTTCACCTCACGCCTGCAAGGCAGCTGTGGAGATCTCGTAACAGCCAGATCAGACAGGAACACCTTTCTTCCCTGTCACTCCATCCTTGAAAGGACCATCTCTTTCCTACCGAACTCTTCTAATCTTGTCCATTCCCGCGATGTCACTACCCTGAGGGCTGCGCATAGCATGTCAGGTAGCTAAGCTTAATTTCACTGAGCACCCAGGCTAACTGCTGCCCAAGTCATGACCTGTGAAGGGGGACCAGCTGTGCTGAGGCACAGCCTGTTTCCCCCGGTGCCTAAGGACGCTTGCAGCAGGAATAAAGCAGAGGTCTCTCTAAAACACCAGATAATTCTGACCTGGCCTGTAACCAGGAAAGACTGAGCCCTTCTCCCTCTTTCCCCTGTTTTTGTGCTCCATTCCTCATGGCACACAGAAACAGCATCACAGTTTCAGCTTAGATGCCCGCGTTTGTCAGGTCAGTGGCATGTGTCTACACGCTCAGCTCTAAAGTAACATGATCACAAGCATGTTCTAGGCACTCTGCTGGAGGACAGCATGAGATGGACACAGAAAAAAAACATTTGAGTTAATATGCTTATGGTTGATATGCTAAAGATGATCTTTCAGCACTTCCTTGCAGACTCACTGTACATACATAGTATTTAGCTGCAGTCTTACACGGTCACCATCAAAGAAACACTGGGAACTACAGCAACATGAAAGAGTTTGTCCTTCCACCACCTCAGAGCTGTAACTACAGCCTACAGCTACAGCAGGTGATCCCAGGTATGGAAATTAGCAAATGCCACAGAAGTGTGAGGCAGTGGAGAGAAGTAAATGCTGATTTCTCCATGGTGACCCAATTGAGGGGCCTAACTCACCCTCTCCTGAAGGTACACAGCAGTCCTAATGCACCCTGTATTCTCTTCCAGTTAAACCAAGCAGTGACTTGCTGGTTCTGTGTTGCTCCCTGGTATACAGGAGCACTGTGGGTTGATGCTGCACTCCTTTGTTTACCCACCCAGGTACTTCCAGGCAGTTCTGTCCACACTTCCCCAAAGCTAGGGCTTTATTCTAGTCCAGCAATCCTCCAGGCCAATGGTGACTTATTCCAGATCAAACAGCAAAATGGAGTTTAGTGTTGGCTGCCGCTGTGGGAATGGCACATCATTGCTCTTTGATCACATTGTCTGTGCAACATTTGCCTGTTTCCTGGCTCAGGGACTTAAAACCTCCTGGTGGTTATGACCCTCACGCCTTAAGTGAGCATAAGACTAAAGGCATCGTGTGCTCAGCTTATTTTCCACCATGTGATTCTGTTTAATTAACTTCTCCACTACTACCCTGATAAGTGCCTGCTTGGAGACTTGCCACTAACCTTCATTCTCCTGCAAAATCCCCCCCCCAAGAACTTATTTCTTAAGGATTAAAGCTTGAAGGATAAATTTTTCCTTCCTATACACATAAGAACTGTTCCGCCTGGCTGACC